TTTGCTTTCCCTCTACCTTTCCAAGCATCATGTTCCTCTCCAAGGAATAGTCTTTCCTACTAAAAAGCCCAAGATATGTGAGATGAAGCTTTATCCTCCAAGGAGCACACAAGGAGCTACACCTTCTCTAAGACATATCTGTTTATTCTTTTCTCATTCAATGGGATATTCAGTACTCTCCTTCAGCTGGTACTGTAATTCAAAGTAATCAATTATTCTTTTATCTTACATACATTGTCTAGCATTCAGATGCACAAGTGACTGAAAAAGCCATGGCCTGAATCAGGCACACCTTAGTTCTCAAACTAAAATCACTGCTCCTCAATAATTTGAAGAGGTCCCCAACTGCAGATTTTCCCAGTACAGTATTTCTCCTGATCACCTGACTGCTGGTACCAAGTATATTGACTGTGGAGGCAAGATGAAGTCATTGACAGTTTAGATCTTTATCCAACTATCATGAAGTTGCTTATAGGTCCAGTGGTAACACTGAGATGCAATCCAAGGTTTGATTTTCTGCAGCAAGCACTTTAAGTCCTTCCCACTCACACAAGCAAGGTTGTGTTACCTCTATAGTGAAGGTTCTGATGAGTCTTCTTCCAATCCTGATCCCATATTCTTCTTCATAAGAGTCCAGCCTCTCAAATATTTTGCTAAGCATATAGATTAAATAGGTATGGAGAAAGAATACAACCTTGATGCATAGCTTTCTTAATTTTAAACCATGCAGTGTGTCTTTGTTCTCTTCTCACAAGAGCCTCTTGGTCTAGGTAGAGGTTTCACACAAGCACAATTAAGTATTCTGGGATTCTCATTCCTCTCAATGTTAAGTAGGTTTTGTTAATAAAACACAAATAAATATTCTTCTGGTATTCTCAGCGTTCAGCCAGCATCCATTTGATATTAATGATGCTGCTTGAAACTTTACATATTCTGGTGATCACATTTCTTGGGAATGGGAACAAATACAGATCTCTTCCAGTCAGTTGGCCAAGCAGCTGTCCTCCAAATTTCCTGGCACAGACTGGTGAGCATGTCCAGGGCTCATCTGTCATTTGAATTACTCTACTAGTAACTACTCTACTAGTAGCCCGCAATACTTTCTGTCCTCCTTCTCCCTGCTCTTTTAATTATGAGCTAACAAAACAAATCTTTCCTTCACTTTTCTGCCTATACTATTAAAACAAAGCTCAAAGAGAACAAGAATTTTGATTCATTTTTGACAGCAATAGTATTCCCACAGCCTAAAACAATGTCTAGCATATGGCAGACACCCATCGTACAAGTTTCCAGAGTTATATCTTTTTGAAGACAGAAATTTGTCCATGGATTTGATATGCACTTAGTATTAAGTGTTGTGTTCAGAAAGGCAGAGGGCTTGCAAAGAGAGGAATACCCTCAACCAAATGGACTGTGATACAGTGACTGCCACAATGGGCTCTAGTGTGTCAGGAAGTGTGAAAATGGCACAGGATAGGACAGAGTTCAGATCTGTTGTTCAGAGGTCGCTATAGGTCACCTTTGACTCAATGGCACCTAATAACAACATTATGTATTGTTGAATCAACTGTGATTCATAGTGATTCTATGAACAACAGATCAAAGGCCTGCCTGATCTTTTGCCAACCAGTCCATTTCCTTTAATAGCACTGCAGAAAGTGTTCAAGAACTCTATTTTCACTCTGCCTGACAACACACACAGGAATAAAGACAAATCAGTGGGAAATATGAGTAAGCATTAATGTTCAAAACAAGACTGTTTTAAGCTCTTATCCTAATGGTGATGAGGAAACATTCAATGAAAACAAAAACTATAAAACTTCTGAGAGAAAACCTTTGTGACCTTTATTTAGGCAAAATATTTTATATAAAATATTTAAAAAGCATAAATCATTAAGGAAAAATGGAACTTTAAAATTAAACAAATTTTAGGGGAGCTCTGGTGGCCTAGTGGTAAGGAGCTGCAACTACAATCCCAGAGGCTCAAGGTTCGAATCCACCAGATGCTATGCCGGGGAAGGAGGAACAATCTCCTCCTGTACCAGTCAGATCTGATTTGATGGTGTACACTCACACAAAAATAATAAAATAAAATAAAAAATTAAATTAAACAAATTTTGATTTTCAAAAGACAGTTATGAGAATGAAAAGAAAAAAAAGGAGAATGAATGAAAAGTCATAAATTAGGCTTGTTCTTGTTGTTGTTATGTGCCATCGAATCATTTGCGACTCATAGCAACCCTATGTACAAGAGCCCTAAACGCCGTTCTATCCTGTGCCAACCTCGCTGTCTCAAACACATTCATTTCCACCACTCCACTCACATCTCATCGAGGGTCTTCCTCTCCTGTGCCATCCCTACACTCTCCCATACATGATATCCCTCTCCAAAGACCAGTCCCTCCTTGCAACATGCCCAAAGTATGTCAGACAAAGCTTCAGAATCCTTGACTCCAGGGAACATTCTGGCTTCACCAGACAAACCTGTTTGTTCTCCTAGCAGTCCATGGTATATTCAACACTTTTCTCCAGTACCACAACTCAAAGACATCAATTCTCCTTCTATCCATCCCTATTCACTGTCCAACTCTCCGATGCATAGCACGTAATTGCAAAGACTATAGCCTGGATCAGGCGCACCTTAGTCTCCGGGCTGACACTGTTGCACTTCAGTACTCTTGAGAGGTCCCTCATAGCCGACTTTCCCAATGCAATTGGTCTCCTGATTTCCTGGCTGCTGTTACCAAGAATGTTGACTGTGGAGCCAAGCAAACTAAAACTGTTAACTATCTCAATCTCTTTACCATCCATACTGATGCTGCCAATTGGCCCAGTGGTGAGAATCTTTGTTTTCTTGATGTTGAGCTTCAATCCATATTGAAGACTGCAGTCCTTGACCTTCTGCAGCAAGGGCTTCAGGTCCTCCTCAGTTTCAGCGAGCAGTGTTGTGTCATCTTCATAACTCAGGTTGTTGATGATTCTTCCACCAATCCTGATGCCACATTCCTCCTCGTACAGTCCAGCGTCTCAGATGATCTGTTCTGCATACAGATTGAAAAGGTAAGGAGACAAAATACATCCCTGACGGACCCCTTTCTTGATTTTGAACCATCCAATGTCTCCTCGCTCTGTTCTGACGACTGTCTCTTGGTCCAAGTATAGGTTTTACATTAACACAATCAAATGTTCTGGGATTCCCATTCTTCTCAGAGTCAGCCACAGCTTGTTGTGATCCACACAGTCAAAAGCCTTTGCATAGTCAATAAAGCACAGATAGACATTCTTCTGGTATTTTCTGCTTTCTGCCAAGATCCATCTTACATTGGCTATAATATCCCTAGTACCACAACCTCTTCTAAATCCAGCCTGCACATCTGGCAGTTCTCTGTTGACATATTGTTCCAAACGGTTTTAGATAATTTTCAGAAGAATCTTGCTTGCATGTGATATCAATGATATTGTTCGATAATTTCCACACTCTGTTGGGTCACCTTTCTTTGGAATGGGAACAAATATCGATCTCTTCCAGTCAGCCAGCTGGCTGTCCTCCAGATTTCCTGGCACAACCTAGTAAGCACATCCAGGGCAGCGTCTATTTGTTGAAATAAATCAATTGGTATGCCAGTCAACTCCTGGAGCCTTGTTTTTGCCAATTCCTTCAGAGCAACTTGAACTTCCTCCTTCACCACCATAGGTTCTTGCTCATATGTTATTTCATGAAATTCCTCTGTGTCAGCCAATTCCTTCTGATACAGTGACTCTGTGTCTTGTCAGATACTATTATATATATTTAAAAATTGAGACAGACTAGGAAGAAGGATTGGCCATCCACTTCTGAAATTACAGGCCTTCGAAAACCCTAGGTACGATAGAGCACATTTAGATTATCATTTGGACTAACAGACATGGCAATTGGAACAGAGATCTTAGAAATGGAAACACGAAGAAAGAGAAACAGCTGTAGGAGACACCAGTGATTGGAACGTGGAATGTGAGAAGGATGAATGTAGGAAAATTGGACATTGTTAAGAAAGAAATGGACCGCATAAATATTGACATACTAGGTACTGGCAAAATGAGATGGCTTAGCATGGAACATTTTGAATCGGATGATTACATAATTTACTATGCTGGGGATGAAAAGGTGAGAAAAAATGGGGTTGGTTTCATAATTTAAAAAATCATTTCTAGATCTATCCTGAAATACAATGTGGTGAGTGACAGGATAATATCCATACGCATACAAGGAAGTCCAGTGAATACCACTATCATTCAAATATATGCACCAACAAACCAACAACCAGAGTCAAAGAAGAGGAAATAGAAGATTTTACCAACTTTTACAGTCAAGATTTTAAATTAGGCTTATAAAACAATATAAGTATCACTTAAAACTCTAGAAGTAGGGAGCTCTGGTGGCCTAGTGGCAAGAAGCTTCAATGCAATACCAGAGGTACATGGATCGAATCCACCAGATGCTCTGCTGGAAAAGAAGGGACAATCTCCTCCTATACCAGTCAGATCTGATTTGATGGTACACACAAAAATAATAAAATTAAGGGGAAAAAAACCAAAACCTCTAGAAGTGATTATCTACAATGTCATACAAATCACTCACGTATTGATATGGATAAGGTCTAAAGAAATGAAGTGGTATGTCCAGGGTCAAAGAGACATACAGCAATTTTAATGGAGAGGGGGTATTATTTTGTAGCTCTGCATTTCCTTGAAAACACTTTGCTTCCATCTCAAATAAAGGGCTGTTCCCTAAAGGCTAAATAAAAGGAGATCAGTTTACAGAAAGATTTTCTAAATGCTGTGCAGAAAATTCTCCCTCTTTCTCACAAAGCATATGTACAGACATTACTGAGCACATCACAGGAGGTTTTCAAATAACCACTTATTACACGTGCCACTAAAACAGTCGCCCAATTGTACTGCCACAGAATTTGTAAACCCAAATCTTGTCAAAGCAGTTGTATTCAAACATTTTCACTTACCTGATATTTAAACCAATGAAGTTTGTCCATGTGAAAATATAATCTCCACCAAAGACCATTCCAATATAAGTTATTAATATATTCTGAAAAGTAAAATAACAATATAGTGTCACATTGGTTGAAATGAACTGTTTAAATACATATATAAACTCACCCATACCAACTGATACAGCTAAGTGACCTGAAAAGAGGAATGATCCAATAATCCAAAACCAGATACACAGATAGAAACAATACAAACTTGGGCAGTATTAGAACTCTGATAAGGAAACAAGAACATTAGCCTCCTCCCAGCCAGTTTTCTAGAAAAATGCTTTGAGCAATATTAAAGATACAAACAATTTTCAAGCTTTCCTGTCCACTGGTATAGACTGGCACTGTAAAAGATAATTATATATAATAACTAAGTTACAATGTTCTATCATTATATAATATTAATAAAAACAATTAGTCACTGCTGTGAGGAAGGACAGGAGCACAAAGGTGTCCTGGGCAGTCTTAGACAACAGTTTTTTCCCTTCTCATTGACTAAGTGTTCACTTGTGAGAGGAAAATGAAAAAGAATGCTTTCATGCAATCACCTCTCTTTACTTTGAAGGAGTGAAAAAGGAATTGTGGGAACTTTAACAACAACTTTTTTTTTTAGAAAAACTTTCCTGGTATTTTAAAGACATAACAGGAATCATCTGTAAGCATTATACCTAAATAAAAAACATCTCTGACTCCCTTAGAATCCTTGTTGCAGACACTTTCTTTCTCCTTTCCAACTCAGTTCTGATTATCCTTAAGACAAGAAAAGTAGGGGAAAAGGTCCAAAATTCGAATTATTGTTCAGTTCCAACTCAATCTCCACTCTTAGGTTACTGTCACCCTCTGTGCTATTACAACTGGCAACAATTAAAATGTCATTTTTAGTTATTGGGCTCTAGTAGATTCAGGGTATGATGAAGACAGTAAAGCGTTAGTGTTTTCAAAAGCGGGGGGGGGGGGGGAGTCTATTTTCTTCTTACTGTTCTATTAATAGGTGTGGATACCAATCCTGTACATAACAGACTGAAATCCTGTCCTGCACAATGGAGTCCTCTCTCTGCTGTAACCACTGGGTCAATTCACCTCACGGAGGGTCTTCCTGATGACTCTCTAATTTATCAAACATGATGCCTTTTTTCCAGAGACTGGTCCCTCCTGGTTAACATGCCCAAAATATGTGAGTTAAAATATAACCTAAGGAACATCCTGCTGTATTTCGTCCATGATAGATATCTGTTTGCTGTTCTGGCAATTCAATATTCTTCACCAACATCATAATTTCAAGGCATCAAATCTTCTTTGGTCTTCCTTATTAATGGCCCAACTTTCACATGTATATGAGGTGAACTGAAAATATGCTGGCCTGGGTCAGAGGTACTTTAGTCTTGTAAGTGACATCTTTGCTCTCCAGTAATTTAAAGAAATTGAAGCAGATATGCCCAATGTAATATATCATTTGATTTCTGGACTACTGCTACCAAGGATGCTGATTGGGTGGATCCACATAAAAGAAAATTCTTTTCTACGTCAATCTGTTTTCCGTTTCACATAATGTTGCTTCTTGGTCCAATTGTGAGGCTTTTGGTGTTCTTTATGTGCAAGAAATTCTTCAACAGTGATATCATGTGGCAGTGTAAAGTAAGAGTGACAGTGATCTAGTTAGGTAATAGTGTTTTCCCCCTTCCTCTAGAGTTCAAAAGTAAAACTGATCCTTTGGATTAAAGTCCCTGCCACTCCTGGACTACGGTGGAGAGTAGGGTACAACAAAATAAAGGTATTGGACTTTATGTTAAGTAGATAATGACAATGTTGTTGTTGTTATGTGTAGTCGAGTCACCTCTGACTCATAAAGACCCTGTGTACAAGAGCTCTGAAGCCTGTCCTGTCCTGAGCTAGTCTCACTGACTCCAACATACATACCTCCATTGCCCTAATTACTGTATCAATTCATCTCATACAGGGTCTTCCTCTCCTGCACCGTCCCTCCACCGTTCCGAGAATGCTGTCCTTCTCCAAGGATCAGTCCCCTCTGGCCACATGTACAAAGTATCTGAGACAGAGATTCAAAATCCTATCCTCCAAGGAGCAACTTGGTTTCACCCTCTTCAAGACAGACCTTTTTGTTTTCTTGGCAGTCCATGGTATGTTCAAGACTCTTCTCCAGCACCAAAACTCAAAGGCATTAATTTTTCTTCTGTCATATCCAGCTCTCTGATGCATAGCAAGTAATTGTGAAGACTATGGCCAGGATCAGGAACACCTTAGTATCTAGACTGATATACATTTATATCTAATTTGATCATAATAAATATAAGAATACTAACAGATTTCAAGCAAGTAGGTTTAGTTATGAAAATGAAACTATCCTATGCCTTGGCTAAGAACCAAATGCCCTGTCTCATGTTCTTACTCTCAAAATGCTTGCAACCCACTTCACAAAATCAAAACACAGCTGAGAGCTAATCCGTATGCTAAAATTGTCTCAGTCAGCCTATCCGTCTCTTGAACACAGATTTTCTCTAGCTTTCTGGGCAACTGACACAATTAATTGTTATAGCTTTACTTGGAATTCTATTCACACCGAACATTCTAATTCCATGATTTGAAGGCACAGACAGATCTTCTGGAGCTTCAACCCAAATCTAGTTTCCAAATGAGTGCAAGTGGGTACCACTTGATTTGGAACAGAGTAGTAAAAACTTTATCTCTTTATTTCCTTCCCATTTATTTAAGAAGAACAAAGTAACATTTATTGTGGTTTTGTTGTAAGCTTACAGAGCATATTGTTGTTATTGTTGTTTGGTGCGGTCGAGTCGATTCATAGTGACCCTATGAACGAACAGCCTGAGCACAGTTCATACATAGAGTTTCCGGAGGCAAGCCATTTTGGAAGTGGATGCCACTCCTGCTTCCAGGCTTGTTTTAGTCGGGAAGCTCCAGCCAACACTGTCCACCATGGGTACCCACTACCATGATTGGCACATCACTGTCACTGTCTTCAGAATCACAGCAACCACGAGTTACCTCTGTACAGCAACGCACAGACTAGTGCTATACCACCTGCACTTATTAGGATCTTATTAAAAAGACAGATACATTTTGTTTCTGGACACTAACTGCAATTCTCTCAAAGTAATACCTTGCTGGGTTCTGTTTGCAGTCATCCATCTTTCCTACACCTTCCTGCCTCTAGACTCGGCTCTGGACAAATGCTGTACATTTGGACTTGTATGGTTGATTGTTCTGAGGAGCACATGGATATTACTATTCACTTCATTATTGTTTGGCTGGAAAGTGGTGGGTAGTTACGTGTTAGAAGGTTATCTAAAGGCCAGTTTCAAGAGTTCCAACAGTCTCTATCAGACCAGTACGTTTGACCATTTTTCATGATTTGGGATTTTATTCTACATTTTCTTCCCCACTCTCTCCAGGATCTTATATTGTGAGCCTGATCAGAAAGGTCAGAAGTAGTGGCTGGGAACCACCTAGTTACTCTGGTCTCAAACTAGAAGAGACCATAGTTGGTGTGAGACTTCAGAGCTCTGGACTGTTTTCTTTAGTCTTTGATTTTTTTCACTCTTTTTCACGCCAATAGTTTTATCTTAGATGACTATCTGTAAACTTTTAAGATCACTATCATTACTCACCAAGCAGGAAACAGAACAATGCCTTTAGGAACTGTGTTATGCCAATTGACCTGGATGTTTCTTATTACCCTTTCCCTTATTACTAATGAAAAAAGGAAAGGAAGTTGCAGGGGTAAGTACACCCTTTCTCTAAATAATAAGGTACGTCTTGCTTTTTTCAGAAGGCAAACCCCACTGTGCTAATTCATTCAGATTTCAGGTAAGCTGTGGCCTCTTGGATCTTAAGGTACTAGATTCACAAAGTCAGTTGAAAAAGGCCTTAGGTCTGAAGGTACTAACTTCAGTTCAATACTGACTTGGCTCTCCTGACTAGAAACATTGGAGTCTCCCCAGATGAAATGATCAGGGGAAAATAACATCACTGGCAATGCAGACAGAGCTTTTAAAAGTGAGCAATTTAAGGTTTGGCTCAGGCATAGGAAAACTCCCTCGATTAGCTTCTGGCAGGCATTCTTTAACTAGAAAACAGAATTCAGTGAGGGAAAGAGGAGAGCATGTCTCAGTGGGAGTGAAAGGGATAGACCTCCCACTACTGAGTTATTCACTGCCCTGTCAAACACTGGCCTCATTTTCATTCTTCCTCAGAGCTAAGTTGCCTGAAATCAGAAACTGTGCCTCTCTCAGGGTAATCTCAAGATTATCTCAGAAACCAGAACCAGAATTTGTGGAACTTGCAAGACATCAGATGAGAAAAAAAAGCGTAAGCAATAAAGGGCTTAAGGAGCACTGCCAGGTTCTTATTTGGAAGAAATAATTTTCAAGTAAAACAGGCACACACATAAAAGCCTCCCACCCCCCCAAAAAAAACAACAAACAAACAAACCCCAAAAAACTATTTTTTTCAACTCACCTTAATACAGCCAACTATTGTAGTTGTAAGAGCAGAATTATACTGGGTGCAGAGTACTGTGGCGTACATTAAGATAAACCTGTAATGAAGAAGGAAGATATGTCTTGTAGATTAGATCCAGTGGCTTAAATGATAACAATTTCTTGTAGGGAGCTCTGGTGGCCTAGTGGCAAGAAGCTGCACTGCAATTTCAGAGGTACATGGTTCGAATCCACCAGATGCTCTGCTGGAAAAGGAGGAGCAATCTCCTCCTACACCAGTCAGATCCGATTTGACGGTATACACAAAAAATAATAAAAATAAGCTAAAATAAAATAATAACAATTTCTAATAATACTGATAAACAGTATTGGCAGTGCTGGTACATTCCAATCACTGTGGCCAAATGGAAGTAGTTTTCTCACCTCCCTGCTGCTTGTACAGCAGCTTTAAGGGCTGTCACAAACTGCATAAAAAGGCCCATGCTAACATGGATGGGACGTCATTCACCTGTTCCCAGGCAGTCCCACCTGCACCCAGTGTGAGTTTCTTCTAAGCTTGTTTATTGTCCATCTGCCTGCTCGGGCCTATGGAGCCAGCACAAGACTATTTGCTGTTTGGGATGCCTTTGTCACCATCCTCCTGGCCAAGGCCAATGATGTAAGTGACCTCTGGCCGGTCTTGGACAATCAGGAATTTTGCTGTCACTGTGTGACAGATCGGAGTCTGATCACGGAACTTCTGGAGCTGTATTCCCACGTGCAAGGTGAGGAGGCAAAGCACCACGACTCTGAGGACACTGGCGGGGTCCAGGGAGCTAGGGCTGCACAAGTGGAGATCAGGCATGCCCTCCCTTTGGAGTACTTAGCCCTATGGGGCTGCTGTCAAGAAGCCTGGGTCCTCTCTGGCCATGGTATTATTATTATTATTTTTTATGAAAATTTACAGAGACTTTGGATTTCCATTCATTCATTGTTGCACTTTTCTCCCTGTCCACCATTCCCCCACCCCCAGTTCGCTCTTCTCTTTGAAAAGTAAAAGAAAAATTCTTTCATTGTTATATAATCCCTCCCACCAAGTCCACTCCACTATGCAGCCTTCATTTTGGACTCCTGCCATGACAATAATACCTAATCACATATCCCTTTTAAATACTTCTCTCCCTCATCTGTTTCAATGCAGTATACATTATTTATCCCATCTTCCTCAGTCTCCCTCCAACCCCGATAACAGTCCAGTTTTACAACAGTGGCACTATGCAGTATTTGTCCTTTTATGACTGAGATATTTCACTGAGCATAATGTCCTCCAGGGTCACCCATTTTGAATAATATTTCATGAGTTCCTTGTTTTTCAATGCAGTGTAGTATTCCATTGTGTGAATGAATATACCACAGCTTCTCTATCCATTCGTTTGTTGATGGCCACTTGGGTTGTTTCTATGTTTTTCTATTGTGAACAAAGCTGCTATAAATATGGGTGTGCATATATCTGCTTGGATGTCAGTTATGGTTTCTTTGAGGTATATTCCCAGTAGTGGAATTGCTGGGTCAAATGCTATCTCTATTTGCAACTTTTTGAGAAAGCACCATACCACCTTCGACAGTGGTTGCACCATTTTACACTCCCAACAGTGAATAAGGGTTCCAGTTTTTCCACAACATTGCCAGCATCTGTTGTTTGCTATTCTGTTAATTTTTTCTATTCTTACTGGGGTGAGATGATATCCCATAGTTGTTTTGATTTGCATCTCTCTTAGAGCCAGGGATTTTTTTTTCTATATTTTATTAATTTTCATAAACATTTACAGAGATTTTGGGTTTCCATTTATTCATTGTTGCACTATTCTCTCTACCCTCCTCCCAGTTTGTTCTTGTCCAAATGCCACAGTGCTTGTCAAAGCCAGTTCTGATTAATCTTCCTTGTCAGTGTGTCCTTTGCCATTCCCTATCATTCCTCCCTGAGAGAGACTTCACCCTGAGTCATAAGGAAAAGGGGATGGCGTATTCTCTTAGCTACTTCCTGCTGAAAAGGGACAGAGCCAGGGATTTTCAATAGCTTTCTATGAATGTGGACAATGGGCAACGAATAAGGATGAACAAGTGATACCTTTGAAATAATGGTGTTGAAGAAGAGTATTGACTATCCCATGAACTGCCAAAAGAACAAACAATTCTTTCTTGGGGGAAGTGCAACCCGGGTGCTCTTTAGAGAAAAGGATGGTGAAACTTCAGGCATACTTTGGGCATGATATCAGGAAGGACTTTTTCTAGGAAAAAGACATCATGCTGGAAAGGTGGAGGGTCAAAGAAAGAGAAGACCTTCAACAAGATGGACTTACACAGTAACTACAACAATGGACTGGAGCATAGTGGAGATCATGAAGACAGCATAGGGCAGGGCAGGTGTCAGAGCTGCTGTTCATGGGTCCCTATGAGTCTATATGGTGGCACCAGCAACAACTATGACATTTCTGTAAATATGATGTGGTGATCGCCTGTGACTTTCTCTAGCTTCATGGAAAAGAGAACAATCAACAACCCAAGGCTGATTCCAATAAGGTGGAGGCCAGGTAGATCTCCCTTCAACATTTTAATCAATCCTTACACCAACAATCCCTTCAATGGTGTATTCTACTTGTTACCTGGATTCAATATTCCACTGCAATGGCCAAACATATCACAGGCCATATTCAAAGTTGTTTTTGTTGTTAGTCAAGAACTCCTAATAAGCCCATGAACATCGGAGTTGAATCTGGCCCTATCCTGTGCCATCTTCATCATCTCTGACATACTTGAGCCCACGGCTGCAGTCACTGTGACAATCCATCTCATTAAAGGTCTTCCTCTTTAGCTGACCTTTCCCAGCATGATGCCTTTTACATGCATGGCCCTCTCCTAACAACATGCCCAAAGAACGTGAGATGAAGTTTCACCATGCGTGCCTCTGAGGTACATCCTGGCTGCACTTTCTCCAAGATGGATTTGTTTAGTTTTTTTAGCAGTCCATGAGACACTCAAGTATTCTTCTCCAACACTACAACTCAAAGGCATCGATGATTCTTTTGTCATCCTTATTCAATGTAACTTAACAGACTACCACACAATATCATGAAAGGCTCAGGATCACAATTCTTCAAAGAACAATTTCTTCTCAACTGTGCTGGCAAGCAGCCTCTTCTTGGCAATGTTCCTTATAACCTTTGTCTGTTAGGCCTCTTAGAGAGCAGCCCAGCCTCTGCCCTGCTTCCTGCTTGGGCAAGTGTTACAAAGTTCATTAACCCAGTGGCACTTACCCCACCTGCAGTCTCCTGCCTCTCACGCTGTGGTCAGTAGACTGGCCTCTGTCAAGTCTTTGGGGGCAACCATGCTTCACTAGCAAGGCTGCTGTCCAATGGTGCTCAGTTTTATGACTCCACTGACCAGGAAGTTCACTGTACAGTTTCTACCTGGTCTCCTGGTTCTGATGCCTCTGCTGCCACCATGTCTATGCAAGCCTCCAGCATGAAGGCACTCAGCTTTCTCACTCCATAAATCATGAAGTTCAACTCCTGCCAGTCTCCTGGTTTTACTACCTGTTTCTGCCATTTCTCCTGCCAGTCTCCTGGTTTTGCTATCCCTGTTCCCGCCATTTCTATACTGCTGCGTTTCATTCTCCCTCTCACTGTGGTTTTCTAGCTCTCTCTCCTAAGACTAGGTTCAGTATGGGATCCTAGGTTTAAAAAAACGTACTCTAGATTGTGTACCAATGAGGGAGTTTTGCTTTTGCTTTTCAAGGAGAGGAGCAAACGGGGGGGGGGGGGATGTTTGTGCGGGGAGAAGGGTGCAAGAATGAATGAATGGAATCCCAAAATCTCTGTAGATGTTCATTGAAATGAAAAATAAACAACCTAAATTAAAAAAAAAGAAATATGCATATATTTATAAATATTATATAGATATAGATACAAAATAGTTTGGATAAACTTCTTGAATTTAAATTACTGTATGAATCAAAATGCATGTGCTTTAAAATGTTTAAAGATATACACAAAAAACCCTGTAACAGTAACGTATGAATGTGTGCTTTCTCATAAGCTCATAGATAAAGTGTTTTATTAGGTTTTCTATTTAAAAAAAAACAAAAAACAAAAACGTACTCTAATCTCTCTTGATGACAACCAGGCCTTCTCCATGCTTCAGCAGTGGCTTTCTTTTAAGCGTAGTACGATGGCAAAACCATGCAATGCCCTCATTGGGGTTCTATACCTCTTATTTGCATAGTCCCACCCTCACTGGTATTCTATGACCCTTATTTGCATTATTTAGCAAGCTTTCCAATCTCCTTTATGGTCCACACACACCTTATCTGCACACCCCACCCACTCATTTGATGAGAGTTACAAAGACTATGGCTGCTAGCCTTGTATATCAAAAAATTCACCATGCCAAAAATTCTCGAAGAAAACATCTGCTAACCAAAGCAAACACTTACTTACCCCATCACACAGGAGAGTGTGAACTGCAGAAGAAAAAGCATATCAGCCCAGCCTTCGAAATCCATTGCCTGGAATACACAAGAAAACATCCATTGTAAGATGACGCCTTCAAAATCATCTGTCCTATTCACTGAACCAATCTTTCTTTATGTGCCTCCCTCACCATCACACTAAGAAGCTGTGCTATGCAGAGGCCACCAGGTGCTCTCCGGTAGAAAGATGGGTCATCTCCTCCTATGTGGCTTACAGCGTCTGAAACCCCCTGAAGGGTCCAGTTATGAATTGGTTCTGACTTGACAGCAATGAGTGAGTTTAAATATAATACAGGGAAGGAGAAAAAAAAACCAAACGTGGAGATTCTGTACTTCTTCTCATTGGTTCAAAGAAACTGGTATTTGCTTGAAGGCATAGACATATCTGGCTGATCTCAACAATTCTCTCAGATGGCTGTTAAGGTACTAGTATAAAAGCTTTCTCAAACACGGAAACATATTTATTCCCTTTTTACACTTGAGTGAACAAACACGTCTTTAGTTACACAAATTTAGCTGAAGTCTGTTCACAAATGGGGAGGATTATTGCTATAAATACTTAATTTTAAAAGCAAGATTTTAACTAAAAGAAATCATCTCTCACTCAAGAGGGAACGTTTTCTTCTCTCAAATACATAGTTTCTCTCTTTGTTATCAAAACTGAGTTTGGATAAGCAGACATGAAAACATTCCCACTTTTATCTCCCTGCCAACCTTCTCAGTTTTAGATCATGCCACTTCTGGCATAATTCTCATAGCTCAACTGACTGCAGTAGTACCAGGCTCATTATGGTTTATAAAGAACTCTGGTAGCATATTAGATTACATACTGAGTTGCTACCTAAAAAGCTGGTAGTTTGCAGCTGTCAGCAACTTCATAGGAAAAAGATGAGACAGCCTCAGAAACCAGGTGAAGGGTTGAAACCAGGTTAGAACTAACTCAGTAGTTTTATTTTGGGTTTGTGGCTTATAATATGTGACATGCAGTTTTACACTCATTTGCCTTTGCTTGCAATGTCCTTAATAACTGATTCCTGTTCTTCTTTCAAAGTACAACTCAAGCAGCAATTTTATAGGGCATTTCTCATCATGTACTACATCCTTAATGCCTCAGCAGTACTTATATCTAGCACTCTTATCTTTCTGAATGACAAATATTTCTTCACCACAGAGGCTGCCAACACTGGGCTAAAACACAGTAACCATGGTGAGGATGGCACAGCATGGTGCAGGGCTATGCTGGTTTGCTTTTCTATCTTTTTGTCAAAGTGTTTCGTTCTAGTAGGGTCACTATGAGTTCGAATTGACTTGATGGCACCTACTAACAATAGAATTGGTGACCTTTTTTAAGGGGGGAACTGTATAACATTTATCTGTATAATAAGGGTTGTTGTTGTTGTTGTTGTTGTTATGTGCCATCGAGTCGCTTGCGACTCATAGCGACCCTATGCACAACATAATAAGGGTAGTAATAATAATAATGGTATTTCTAACACTGGACAGAGTAAGCATCTCATTTCTTTATAGATTTTGTTCACAAATATAAAATTTATCATTTTAAATGTACAATTTCATGAGTACTGACAAATGTAACCACTATTACTATCATGGCAAAGAATATCTTCATTGCCCCACGAAGTCCCTGCCTGCTTTCTACAGTCAACCCTTCAACCCTTTCCCTACTGATAAACTTAGTATGTTTGACCAAAACAAATGGCCTGTTTCTATTTTATAAAATCTCCATTCTACCCCACTGATCTATCTATCCACCCTTTATCCATACTGTCTTGATTTATTATAGCTTTATAAGAAATCATGAAATCAGGCTGAATCCAAATCTCACAAGGCTGTTCTTTCTCACAATTGATTTAATTAAATAAATATTTGGCATAAAAGAGTAACTAAAAGAATAACATACAGATTTTTAAAAAATGTATATGATATTCACATGCCAAATAAATTATACATGCAAACTTCTACCCGTTATCTTGATGAGAGATTTGTAGGCATTATTTTCTTCTCCCCAAAATAGGAAACACAAAAGGCACAGTGAGTGGGTACTTTGTTAATGAGGGAAAATAAATACTTAAAAACAAAATTCCTGCCTCTAAGGAGAGTTCTGATAAAAGGCCATTGTGAAGAGAATGATCTGCCTGGTCATTCTGAATGTGACAGAGACTAGGTGGGCTCTTTGCCAAAGGCCTAAAGTTTTCATTTCAGCTGCATGGTAGCTGTTATTACACAATGAACAAAGAAGTTTGGACTTTGTTTTAAATAAAAGTCTCTGGTTCTACAGGTGTTGACAGTGTCATGTAATATCACAGACCAGATAACATCACAGTAGTGGAAAGACGTAACACTGGTTTAAAGTGTTACTGCTTCTCAAGGACTCCTGTTGCCACAGTGTTTTACTTAATTTGGTTGCTAACTAAAGATCCAGCAGTTTCATTCCACTGCCACTCCATAAGATAAAGACATTGCAATCTGCTTCTATAAAGATGTATAGCCTTGGAAACTCTATGGAGAAATTCTACTTGACTTAACCCAAGGGCAATGGGTTGGGTTTGTTCTATTGTTTGCTATCCCATTTGGCTTGACTAAGACTTCAATTTTTTTAAAAAATGTTTTATGGTTTGTTTGTGTGGGTTTTTTTAAAATTTTTTTTTTTTTTAAATTTCTTTGTGTGTGTACCGTCAAATCAGATCTGACTGGTACAGGAGGAGATTGTCCCTCCTTCCCCGGCAGAGCATCTGGTGGATTTGAACTGCTCGCCTCTGCGATTGTAGTTGCAGCTCCTTGGCACTGGGCCACCAGAGCTCCTCTTGTTTTATGGTTTTTAAAGAAATGACTTTTAGCTGGCAAGGCTACAGAAGTGAAGAACAAAAAGAAGCATCTTAAAAACATTAGGCATTAAACTACTTAATTATTAACCAAGCTAAAATCTAGTCCAGAGAAGCATTTACACTTCATCTTACATTATCAGCATCAATCTACGGAATCTAGTTTTCTAGATTCTGTATTGGGATATAACATTAGACTATGGCTTAGCAAAGAAGTGCTAGGAACATCTGACATGTTTAAAAAGACCAACAATCAGAGCCAAAGAAGAGTAAATAGATGATTTCTACCAACTTTTTACAGTCGGAGATCGATCGAACATGCAATCAAGATGCATTGATAATAATGGGTGAATGGAATGAAAAAGTTTAAAAAAAACATAAGAAAATAACATCTCAAACACTCAAGCTGCACTGACACTCAAATGTCAGTGGTTCTAACCTCCTAGTAACTGTGGAAGCTATGATTTAGCTGTTTGAAAATTCTATGAGTTCTACCCTGTCCAAAATACAGTCACTCTGAGTTGGAATCAACTCAATGACATACAACACAATCTAGAGACAAGGAGTGCCAATGGCATATAAGGGTTAAGATGACAAGGGAAAGATCTGCAGTTCAAATCAATCCAGCAGGTCCAAAAGACCAGGCAATCTGCTCCCATAGAGATTCTCAAAAATTCATTACCATTGGGTTGGGACCAACTCAGAGCTGACCCTCCAGAGAGACACCACCTTGGGGTTAGCAGCCCATCTCCCTACAGACGACACCCGCCCACAGAAATGCAGCCTAGAAAACTCTTTGGCAGCAGTTCTACTCTGTTCGATAGGAGTGCTTTGAGTTGGAATTCACTTAACACACAACAACAATCGAATGACCAAAAAAAAATCTTTTGAGGGTGTAAAGTACTACTAGCTGAAAGGTTGAGGGATCAAACTTACATAAAATCAATTCAAAATACAGGTCTGGAAACCTATTTCCCCAAAGGTCATAGCCTTGAAAAATCACATAAAACCATCCTACTCTGCACCCTTAGGGTCACCAGGAGTTGGAATCAACCTGAAAGTAACTAACATCAACCTAATAAGTGTGCACTTTTAATGTGCATTTATTCTTAGGTGCAATCATTGTCAGGAACATTTACAAAGCAAAACTACGAATCTATTACTCAAAAACTCAATGTCATTAAGTCAGAACCAACTCATAGCTAACCCTCCATGAGGTTTTCAGAGTCTATAAATCACATGAGAAGAGATTCCCATCTTTCTCCTGCAGAGCTGCTGGTCAATTCAAAGCCATGAGAAAGGAGTCTCCTTTAGGTTAGTAGCACAACTACCCACAGACTAGGCCACCAGAGCTCCCTTTGTCAACCTACTGTTGTTGTTCTGTGCCATCAAGTCACCTGTGACTCACAGTGACCCTGTGTACAATAGCTGTGAACTCTGCTCTATGCTAATCCAGTCTCACTGTCTCTGACACACCTACCCAATTATCCCAGTTACTGCATCAATTCATCTCATCTGGGGTCTTCTTCTCCTGGCTGTCCCTCTGCCCTTCCATGCCTGATGTCCTTCTCCAGGGACTAGTCCCTAGTGGCCACGTGCCCAAAGTATATGAGACAGAGTTTCAAAATTCTTGCCTCCAAGGAGCAGCTTGGTTACACCCTCTCAGGATAAACCCATTTGTTCTCTTGGCAGTCCATGGTATGTGCAGTACTCTTCTCCAGCATCACAACTCAAAGGTATCGATTCTTTTTCTGTCATCTTTGATCACTGTTCTGCTTTGTGAAGCATAGCAAGTAACTGCAGAGACCGTGGCCTGAATCAGATATACCTTATTTTCCAGACTAACATCATTGCTCTTCAGCACTTTGGAGAGATTCATGTCAGCAGCCTTTCCCAGAGCAATTCATCTTTTGATTTCTTGACTGCTGGTGCCAAGAGTGTTGAATGTGGAGGCGAGCAAGCTGAAAACTTGTTAACAACCTCAATCTTTTCTCCACCTATCATGGTGCTGCTGGTTGGCCCAGTTGCAAGAATCTTTGTCTTCTTGATTTAGCTTCAACCCATACTGAAGAATGCAGTCTTTGACCTTCTGCTTCAAACACTTCCATTTCTGTGAGCAAGGTTGTATCATTTGCATGGGAATCTCAAGTAAAATCTGATGCATAAATAACACTTTCTTAATTTGCCAGCTTATTG